TCCTATGCTAAAACTTTATCATTACACAATTACAAGTCCCATTTTGTTTATTTTCTTTGTATCACCCCTATAGTTTGCGAGACCTGTTTTCTGATTGTTTAGTTTTCAATGTGCACAGATTGGTTATTGAAAGGTTATCGTAAAATTTATAAATCTGCACTTGTTTTCAGTAAGTCTGTGTAATTGCTTGCTAATTCTAATAAAGCATTTAATAATTTTTAGAATGCAGAAGATTTACTTGCAGAAAGAAAGGCTGAATTTTCAGATATAATAACTAAAATTCACTATTTTGAAGAATAAAAAAGATGTGAGAAAAATTTGAGGATCTCGGGCTGTTAGCAGCAGGGATGTATTATCAACAACATCAGTGTAATAAAACTCATTTGCGATAATGAAAATAATTGTTTGGAAAATTGGAAATAGCTGCAAAGTGTTGAACTGTAGAAGTATTCCATTATATGTTACTCAGTAAAGAAAAATCATCACATCGCACTTAATGTAATCTGCTGTTCAGTGTAATATAGAAAATTGATAAAGATATCGCACATTTTTTCGCGTCATCAGGAATTCTTTTTAAGAAAATTTACTCTATAAACATAAATAATAATGCGTAAATACAAATGGTTGAGCTTAGTTATGCCAAAACAAACTATTCACCTATAGCATCTATTTAAGGACAATTGCCTTAATTGTCAGGAATGATAGCTCAAATCTGATTGATTGCTAGCGTCTGCTGGTTGCATGTAAACTGAATGTTAAAATACTGTACTTAATCGAATAAATCGTGTTTTATCTTATAATCCGTTAGTGTCTCGATACGTGCCAGCAACGTGAGGTTACGCACCCATCATATTAGCATCAATTGTTCAGTCAAGTGTGATTAGTTTCATAATTATGTAACATGTTTATTGGTTATTTTGCAGCCACTGATCCATCTTGAAATAAATCTGAACAAAAACTGAGCTCTCGAACGGTTCATTGAGCCATAATGTCTCGCAAGAATTTTCTTTTATAACTCACAAGGTAAGGGTGCCTTTTAGAATGGTTATTATGTCAGGATTTCTGTTTCAGTTTCAGAAATTTTTCTTTGAACTCAGGATATAAATATCAAAGATGAAGTAAGTAAAGTCATAAGATCTGAATTCAATTAGAATTCACTTCTATCGATTAAAGGAAGAAAAGCGACAGAATTGGAAAAAGCTTGTAAATCTTTTTGACTGCAGTTTCAAACAGCATTGCACATACCTTGGCAAAATGAGTTTGTACTTCAAAGATCGATAAAAAATTATTCAATAAATGATCATTATTAATAAATTATTAAGTAAATAATTACTACTCAGAGGTCACTACAGGAAAACATTTGGAAGCTATCAATGTCTAAATAAGAAATCAGCCTGTGTTAATGTAGCTTATGCTAACTCTTTAATCTGGTAATAAACATTTGATGAAGACAATTCAAGATACGAATTTGCTTAAGACTGTGCATGATTTGTGTCCTATCTGTTAAAAATTTAAATAGAGTAAACGAATTAGCTAAAATGGGAAGTGTATTGAAATCGCGTGAAAAATAAAATCAAGAGAAACCATGGGTGGTCGTAGTAGAAAGGGTTCATTGCATTCGAAATAATATTGCACTTGCAAAGCTTATGTTTCATAGAATTCTGAAAATAGCTCTGTAAGGTTTCACTTTATTTTTCTAATTTATTTTTATTTTAATACAAGCCTTTCCTGTACGTTCTCATTTTCCTACCTGCGCGTCTCTGCCAGAATGAGTTTTTAATTTTACAAATTTTATTTTTATTTATTTATTATTTATTTATTTATTATTTTATTTATATTTATTATTTTATTTTTTAATTTTTTTAATTTAATTTAATTTTTATTTTTTTGTTGTAGATAGGTTAGAAACTAGTATTGAAACTGAGTTACTTCAGGAAAGAGTGTTCTGCCTTTCGGTCACGTTGTTGCTATTAGTTTAACCTTGTTATTTTACGACCGTACTTAATTCGTACCGGCTGGTATACGCCGGGGATTCTTAATAAGGACAATCTAGGCGAGATTTATTCTGTGCAGCTCCGATTGATTAAATTTATTTAGCTTTAGTTAGTTTTATATTTTCTGTTTTGGGCTTAAGCCCAAGTGGAGGCTTCTTGTTCACCCGAGAGCTGCCGACTGTTAATCCAACTGTTGCTTAAGCAACAGGAGCTCAGCAAATAGTCGCTATGCAGTTCTTCAATATTCTAGCATATAAAGAATTTTATTTTAGCGAGGATATTACGACTCATAAAACGCATATTTCTGAAATGCTTTAGTCATTCGATATTTAGTAGCTGCTTTATTTTTTTACCAGGATACTAGTTTTCATATTTCACAGTTTTGTCAGCATTTTATTTTTTACCGAGATATTTTATCCTGCGATATGTTAGAATTGCGAAGTTTTCTCATTCCCCTTTCCCCCTTTTTTTAATTACTGTATTTTGCACGACAATTTCTTCTTGCGAAGTTTTCTCCGCGATGTTGCTATTTTCATTCATCTATTAATTTGAAATTAAGTTTAAAAACTGGATTAGAAGTAAGTTAATACGTTTAAGTTTTATTGCTTTCATATTTTTAGGTATATACACACTTTTATGTAATAATAATGAATTATACGTTTGCATTTTTTTTATTTTATTTTTAGTCTAACTCCTTAGGCTGCAGGTCTTAAATTCATTTTGAGTTTAAAATCAGTCAAGTTAAAAAGTTTTGATAGGAGATTTAGCAAACTTTTGTTATAATATTTTAATAAATAGTTAATTTCTAAACTAAAAGAACTCAGAACTATGTGAATGAAAAATTGCTATACATTAAATACGTGCTTTTATATAACCTGAATGGTAGAAACATTTTAAAAATGAAGGTAGTATTTACTTCGAGTATGGAGTTTCTGAAGTGCAATAATGTGTGCAATAATGAGAACACAGTTTTTAAAATAAACTTTATTTCTTGAAGTCAGGTTATTAATATAAATTGACAATATGTTGTAAACCTGAATAAATACATAAATACATACAATAAATAAATACTAACAATAAATAAATAAATAAATAAATGTAATAAATAATTCTTACATGAATTATATAAATAAAGAGTAGTAAATAAAATAATGTACCTTCAACCACAAATAATAATTATAAATTTTAACAAGAACCAACAAAAGTAAAAATAAATGCAATATAATGAAAAAAATTTGTTCGCAGAAAGATATGATTATATAATATCACGAGTAAAACATTCATAGAACATGCATTGTTTATTAAACTTAATAAAAAAGACAGTTTTCAGGTGATCGTTTCATTTCTCAGTTGTCATTTATGATCACATCTGTTAATTCAAAATAGTCATAATATTTTGTTAATTTAAATCATAAACACTTTTAACTGCATAAGAAATTTATAAAACATTTATATTGACCATATTGAAACGTTATGATTAGAATCCATTGTTTTTCTACTGCAAATGAATCTGAATTATTCATTCGATTTTTTAAGATGTTAAAAATTAAAATAGTAAATTTTTACTGAGCTTTACAGATGATATTTTATATTACATTTTTTTAATTTTCGATTTAATTTTTTTGTAAATACTGTTTTTCAAAGTCTGTTTTATAAAAATTTTCAGGTGTGGCACGTTTCAGTTGATCATTTAATAAACTGCAATGTAGGTTTCAAAAAATTCATAAATAACAAAAGTTTGATTTTAAAAATTTTAAAAATTGTTCGCAGGCTCTTTGTTCACACTTTTTATTTATTATATAAATATATAATTAAAAGATAAGTCATTTATTGTACTGATTTAACAATTAATTTGGAAAAAATATTTGTGTGTTTTCTTAACTATTAAAATTTCTTCACTAATGATTTTTTTCCAACCTTTAAACCGGTATTTAAACATACGCAGAAAATAAATATGCAAATTATAAGAACTCAAGAATGTTTTTTTGTATGTTCGCTTGTTTGTTTATTAAGGTCAATCTTTTTGCACAGCGATTTTCAATAAGTTTCATGCTTAGTTTTAACTTCTAAATCAATAATAAGTAAATTAAATTATTTTGATCGTTAATAAGTTAGGTTTTTTACTAGCTTAATTAGTGATCTCGAAACTAAAGTGCAAATTCTTAAAACCCTCGGATATAATTAAGAGTACTCAATGCAGGCAATGCTGTATCTTCCATTTTTACCCAAGTGCTTAACGCAGTGACATTAATATCTCTGCCAGAAGTTATTGCATTGTTCTTAAAAGCTGCCGCAGGACCCACTGGTGGCATTACCGGTGGCATCATTCCTCCGTACATCATATTAACGGGCATCATAGGCATCATTGGCATCTTCATAGATAGCAACGATTTTATAAAACCCATAATTCCGCTCAGTAGACTCATGAAAATTGGCATCATAATGGCTGCCAAAATCAAGGGTCCAAGGGTCATCACCAAAGGCAAGAACATATCCAGTTTATCTTCTTTCTTATCTCCACCCGAAGCATCGTTTTTCTCAATCAGAATTATTTTCGAAGGTGGCATAGGAGCAGGGACCCAACCATCTCCTCCCATGCTTTCCCAGCCTGTTCTTCTCAGTGGCAACTTTGTAGACCAATCATTGAAGGATCTTTTCTTACTGTTTGTTGTCCCTTCCGCCACGTATACGCTGAGGATGATAATAGCCAAGAAATTCCATTTTCTCATTGTACTATAGAAGACCAGATAAAATACAAATCCGTTACTTCATCGTGATGACTGACATCGTGAACAAATACATACAAGCAACTAGTTTTAAAATAGGATTAAACATTTATTTATATTTTGAATATTTTTCACTTCTTTGACACCTATTTTAAAAAACTACTCACTCTTTGAGTATATTGTTAAACTAAAAAGACTTTTACATGTAAAGTTGTGCGTCCTTTAAAAACCATAGTGCTTAAAAAGGCTGTGCGTATTCCTTTATTTCTCCTTTCCCAAATTTTGAGGAATTTATATGCATGAATACTAATAGATTTTTAGTTTTCATATTTACTAATTGCTGCTTCTAGTTTCTCAGCTAATTCAAGAATCAATGAGCTGATAAAAACTCTACCGCGTGACAGATCATCTTCGTCTGTTTTCCTATGCTTATTAAGCATAGCTTGCGGTAGACCTGGACCACCTGGCGGCCAAGTCATCATCATCATCATTCCTGCCATATTTTTCATAAAGCTCATCATCCCTCCCATTATGCTCATCATCATAGGAATCATTATACACATCATTATTAAGGGAGTGAGCATCATGATTAAGGGCCCTACACTATCTTTGCCATTCATTCCGCCATTTGCCATTTCTGCCCCATTATCACCTTTATCTTTAATGAGAAGAATTGGTTGTCCACCTCCACCCATTCCCCCATTCTGGTAGCCTCGACTTACACCAGTCTCCATTGATTCATCTATGTGGCTTTTTTCAGAACGCCGTCTTGAGTAGAATGTGCCATTTTCAATGTCTTTGCCTGTGGTTTCATTGCAAGGAGATATACTGTTTTCACAAACGGGAACAGTGTTATTAGGTGAGTCTTCAGAAGGCAAATTTTGTACGTTGATTTCGACAGTTTGGTTTGACATCTCTAAATAATTTTGCAAAGAACTAAACGGAAGCACTTTCAGTTCATCTGATTGCAATATGGATGTATTAGTTTTCAAGTTTGGAAGAGGCCATGCTCTTTGATACTGATTGGAATGTTTATCGTTTCGCTTAACATATCCTAGCCAGTAGTTATATTTTGTGATATTGTGGTATTCTTTCTGTGCTTTAAGCAAAGAATTATGCACAGAGGCAGATCTGCCGCTGTTATGTTCGATGAATTTTATGTTATTGGCTGTATCCAAAGGTACAAAACTTTGATTGTCAGCCACTGTTCTAAAGTCTTTACGCTTGTGATGGTAATACTTTTTGTATCTAATAACATTTGATTCATTCCATGTTTTATTTGCCATGTTCTTTGGTTCTGTCATAAGATAGCTATGAGTTTCATTCTTTCCTCTTTCACCAAGTGAAGTATCCCAATGATCCACAAATTCTTCTGTTGCAACTGCTAATGTTGGCCATAGCATAAGTAAGAAGAAAATCAATTTTTGGAGAGGCTCTTGCATAATTTTCGGCGATGGTACTGTTAAAGAGAAAGAAAATGACGTCATCAGTCATTTCGAAGATTAGATAAAGTCCGACGAGTGAACATCAGTTTCTCTCTCATAATATATCAACAAAATAAACTAAGATTTATTTCATATAAAAATATTTTAATTTTATGAAGCGCTGAAATATGCTTATATTTTCTCAGTTAAATTGATTTCAGATAAACATAGATTTTGGAACTTTCTCTGAAGCCTTTTGTTTTATGTTGAATATTTTAGGTTTCGTATGCGTATTAAGAAGGACATGAAGTTCTTTCATTTGATAATATTATTTATTTAAATAATAGCTTAAAGGAAATTACAATTTATGCAGACTTTAAAATGTTATTTACAATGATTTTTTTATAATCATTTTCAGCTATATGTATGATAAAATTCCCAGTGCGAATAAAATGCAGTGCTTAATAAAATAATCGGTTTCACGCAATTTCACTCATAATTTATATTTCCTCAAAAAAATTCAAAAATATACAATCGCTAACATATATAAAATGATAGCAGTAAAATATTGTACATAATTATAATCAAGCTTTGATATTTCAGTAATTTTCATGTGAAAACCTTTGCTATAAAATCAACAACAAATCAGTTACAACAGCCATATTAAAAACATGCTTACGCTTTTGAAAGAGCGTAAGATCTTATTTGATGCTATGGTGACTCTAGATAACGATTAAGTAAAATAATTATTAGTTAGTTACCTACAAGATCAGTCCACAGTCAAATGATGAAAAATACAATCAAGAGTACTGGTGTATAAGAATTTATGGTACTTACATATAATCCCGTCGACCGTGAAACTGTCGGTAAGCTATTCGACTTAGAGTCAATTATGAATGAGCATGACGTCACAACACGCTCATAACATTTGTGCTTTCTACTGAAACCCGAATTGATTCTAAATAAGTCGAAATTTTGTTTTTTAGAACAATAATATAAATAACTTTGCTAGATTTTTTCCTTGCTTTTGGGGTTAAAAATGTTATTAAAATGTGGGCTATACTCAAAAAAAAAAAAAAAAAAAAAAAAACTTTGCATTAACAGATAAACTGTCGTGATGCAACATGAAAGATTATGACAAGAAAATATCCATTCGGAAAGGAATTTGGTTCGAGACTATCTAATTCTTTTGTTATGGACCTTGAAGATTTGCTCAAAGATTCACAGCTTTCTTCCTTTAATTTTATAAAAAAAAAAAAAAAAAGTTTCGTTGGATGCTATTTAATTTTATTTCTTAGTTACTTATGGTAACCAAAGGTAAAAATGATTTAGAAAAATTTATTAAAAGGAATACGTTTCGAAAAACGCTGAAAGAAAGAATTATATTTTAACTCGGGTTAGTAGCATATGAGTTTTAAATTTAGGAAATTTATTCTAAAAACGAATGTTTTTCGAATGATATTCCATCAAACACATTCTGTATTTTATCTAAGACACTAATTATTTGATCTGCGATAGACAAGTCATTTGGATCCGAAGTCCATATTCTACTTGACCAAATTTTCTCATCAGCTTTCGCTTTCAATGTAACGTTATTTCCTTTTATTATATCGTGCACTGCCATTATATTTGAGCGAGAGTTAGAAGAATGGATTTTTGGAACATCTGAATTAGCTTCATATTTATTATAAACATTCTGATCATTCTTCTGATTGACTAAGCCTAGTCTGAAAAATTCTTTTATGTTCTGGGTTTCCGTTGAAATATCTTTTCCTGTAAACTCTTTTGACTCAGAATTACTTTTGAAGCGTATGGGAAGTCCCAAATTATTTGAACTTCCCATCCCATTGTTTAACATTGCTGTAAAAGGCAACATTCCATTTGGCATCATCATCATTCCATTTGGCATCATCATCATTCCATTTGGCATCATGCCGTTCATCATCATCATACCATTCCCATTATCCGTCATACCATTCATCATCATAGTCATTTTCGCTGGTAGCAAAATAGCAGCTAATAGGAGCGGGGCTAAGAGGCAAATTACTGGCGTCAGGTCTTTCATTTTCATGCTGGAACCATTCCCGGAAGTCGAAGAACCTTTTTCTTTAACGATGAGGACCTCTGGTTGCATGTTCATCATACTCCACGGTCCTTCGTCGTATCCTCGAGGTTGAATAATTTCACTTCCTCCATTCACCATAACAAGTGCGAAGGTCACGGCCGCCGCCACAGCAAAAGTTTTCATATTCGTTGAAGCAGGACTGGTAAAGAAAAGATAGATGCTAGTCTTCTTTGCAATCTTTTATAATCATAAATACATAGATTTCCTTTTCAAAACAAGTCACTGCTCTTGTTAAACGTTAAAACTCACGCGATGCTTTCATAAATGATACCTCTGAAGTGAAAAATCACGCTATCGTTACGCGCTTATGATCTTACGTGTTTGACAGCGAATTGTAGTTTACAGAATATTTGGAGGCCATTGAACAGAATGAAAGAGTCTCATGCAGCATATCGAAGAATTATGTTAAATGAGAAATATTAGTATAAAATAGTTAAGGTATTTTAAACATAAACAATGCTAAACAAGGCATTTTAGACATTTTTAGAAAATTATAAGAATCTGCCCAAAGTTAAAATTTTTGAAATTTAGCAAATTTTATTACAATTCTGAAATTGATATACTTTATTCTAATCCATTTTGAGGTGATAATGATATACAAACAAGTCTATTTAGTCTTCGCATTAACAGAAGCAAGTTGACATTAGTTATGAATTTAGGAAAGTTAATCCGGAAAAAATTTTCTAATTACATTGTTTATTATTATAAAATACATATTTTCGCAATTTACGCTTAATATCTAAGATAATATACGACATTAATCGACTAAAACTCTGTATGATCTGCGATTTCAATGTGTATTTAAGATTTACATCACAGATTAAAATTTAGAATCTTTGTCTAGACATTATTTCTTTATCCGTATTTATAGCAATAAATGGGTAAAGAAACAGGTTTTGCAAAACAAACCACATAACTGGTAATGAATTTTTCAAAAGTATAATTTTTAATTTTCATAATTTTATTTATTACTACATATTACCAAGATCTTTTATTGCTACCGAATAATAACAATGCTATATAATATATTTAAATTTCAGCGTTTTTTTTTTTTTTTTTTTTTTTTTGTTTCATATAGTACTTGATATCTTTGATTATTCATATTATTCATAACTAGCTTATCATATTGTTTTTTTTTCCAGAATGTGATAACACTTTTTATCATTTAGATTACAATACTACACTCATGTCCATAAATTAAGGATAATGCAAAATCAGGCAAAGGAAGAGTTAGAAGCAAAACAAATTTGACTTATTTGTAAAGCTTATTTATTAAACAAAAGTTAAAGAGCATAAAAAGATACTATATGTTTGATATTATTAAAACAATTAGCGACTTTTTCTCTCTGGAGCAAATTACAAAAAAAAAAAAAACCTATTTACAAAAAACAAATATTACATGGTTGGTATGACTGTTAATACACTGGATGTCTCCCAAACGATGCAATGCAATCCGTACAACGCTTAAGCATGCTGAGTATCAAATTATCGATCTGATCTTGGGGGATATTACACCACTCAAAAAGCAATGCTCTCCGAAGTTCCGGTAGACATGTAGGAGGAGGTTGACGGGCTGCAACTCGTCGGCCAAGCATGTCCAACACGTGCTCTACTGGATTCAAGTCCGGTGAGAATGCAGGCCAGTACATACGGGTGATATCCTCCGATTGAAGGCATTCGCTTACGATGTTTGCACGGTGAGGACGGGCGTTGTCATTCATAAACACAAATTGTGCGCCCATGGCGCCCCGAAACAAACGTACGTGTTGTTCCAGAATGACGTCCCGATAGATTTGGCTTGTCATGGTTCCAATTTGAACATGCAGGTCAGTTCTGGAATCCAGAATAATTCCACCCCAAACGAGCACTCCTGCACCACCGTTACGGTGTCGTTCAATGATGTTTTCTTGGTGGTAATGGGTACCTGGAGCTCTCCATATGAAAGTCCAGCGAGAATCAGTCTGCAAGCTAAACCTGGACTCGCCGGTCCACAATGCATGCCCTCTACTCCAGGCTAACCGCAGGCGACAGTGAGTTGCAGTAAGTGGAACGCATCTGACGGGTCTACGAGCATATAGACCAATCTGCCCTAAGCGTCTGTACACGGTCTGCCTTGAAATTGTCGTACCAATGGCTGAAGAGAGATGACGAGACAGATCTGAGGCTGTGCTCCGCCTGTTTCTTTTGGCAGTAACTGCCAAATACCGATCCTCATTCGGCGTTGTAACTCTGGGATGACCTGTGCTGTAACGTCTACTCACATTACCATCATCTTGGAATCGTTTCCAAGGCCTGGAGATGACAATCTGGGCAATTCTAAGTTAGTCAGATACTTCCAGTTGGGTACGCCCACATTCCAGACGGCCGATAATTCTACCATGTAAAAAAATCATCCAAACGCGTCCTTTGTGTCATAACTATTCGGTTATTGCACTGAAATGCTTATAAAGCGCCTGCGAACAATTTTACTTCTTTGCCTGTATTCCTTATAAATCACTCTCTTACACTCTCGTCACTGTGACGTACCATCGGTGTCATCTGGTTACTTCCTGAAATTTGCAAATGATTCTTGAAGATGTATGTAGTGATTTTACAGGTAATATATTCATCTTAGAGTTCGATTTCCGCGTGACTCTGAATTATCCTTAATTTATGGACATGAGTGTATTTCAAGAACTGTAACTTTTATTTGATTTTTGACCAAACCGTGCACATGATCACAATGAAAAGTTTAAAATTAAATTTTTATGTAAAGATAAAGTTTATTAAGCTGTTATTAATGAAGGTTCAGTTTTGATTAAACAAGAATGTACAAATACTATGAAAATTATTTATCTTTGCAATTGTTTTTATATCAAAAAAGCCACTAAATGATGGAATTTGAAATACATTGAGGAAAATTAAATCTCAGCACGAACAAAGAGATAAAAAGAATAATAATAACAAAGGTAGATATAAAGAAATGTGGGAGGCGCGTTTTGCATATCTGATAGATGACATCAATTGATAGCTGATAGAGAGCGAGGGCACTAGTGCTTTACCGTGCGGTCAATAGGTGCTGCTCTTCGAGTTCAACTTTCTGTAAGTTACAATTTTTTTCAAGGTGCAGTATTGATGTCTATTAAGATTCCGTGTGAGACAAATAAGTATGGCACTCATACCGCTTCCGACAGTAATGGCGCTACGTTAGCACAACTATTAACATGCAAATCACATTTGCTCTAAATTCGCAATCTAAACTTTGCTTTATTTGTCTTCCGGATTGGGCGTGAGAAAACGAAAAAGGCAGCAACTTAATGAATTTGAACAAGGGCGTGTAATATGCTACGAGAAGGTGGGTTTTTCTTTTCGCGATACTGCGGATACACAGTGATGTATCCTCTGTGCATGCATATTGGCAGCAGCGATCACGAGAAGGTACTCAAGAAAATTGGGGTCTTGCACACACATGCCGTCACTCAAGACAGCTGCATGTCAATGGCTCATCGCGCAGCCTCTGTAGCAGACATTCGAGCTTTTGCTGGCACCAGAGTGACACAGCGAAATGTAACTTGAGGGATAACTCCGAGCCAGATGCACTGTAACGACCATATACGATTAACTCCAAATTACCGTCATCTCTTACCTTCGGTCGCAATGGAAGGCGGAGTGGAGATCTGTTGTGTTCTCAGATGAGAGCCCACTTCTGTTTTGGTGTTACTGATAGTCGTATACTCGTTAGAAGAAGGCCAGATGAGTCTCCTTTTAACCAAGCTGCCTGCAGCATAGACACATTGGACCTACAGCAGGAGTTATGGTTTGGGAAGCAATTTCCTACTTTAGCAGAAACACTCTTGTCGTTATCCCCAAAACAGTGACAGTAAATATTTACATCAGACTGGTGATTGCGGTTTTTCTGTCATTCTTGAGCAATATTCCAGGGGGCATTTATCAACAGAATAACGCTCGCCTTCATGCCGCTTCTATCGCCAAGCGTGCTTTACAGAGCGCCGGTATGTTGTCTTGATATGAAAGATTATCCAGTCTTTCTTCGAGCAGGTATAGCACATGATTAGACGATAAATCCAGCGTTATCCACAACCAGCGCGGACCGTTGCTGATTTGACTTACCAAGTGTAACAGGCATGGAACTCATCGGCATCAACATCGGGCCTCTGGGCGACATTCATTCAGCAACGGGACGACAACAGCAGTTATTAATGAACCACCATTTTACATTTGAAATGGCTCTTCTCGAGTTTTTTTAATTTGTAATCTTGAAACACTAATCAAATAAATATGCTACCTAGACAAATGCTTTGCCTACATTTAATTCCTGTAAACTAATTTCTTCTTGGTGTCTGATTCCTCTAAGCTGATTTTTTTCTTCGGGACGCATTTGGCTAGAGAAGCTGATTGTGAGAGAGAGAGAACGTGTCTTTTAATTTTACCACTAGTTACACGGACATTGGCTATAACTGTCTAGCATTTTGTTTTAAAATAGAACTTTTATAAAATAAAAAGGGTCTAATTTTAATATACGTTTCTACAATTAATATCTTTATAGCTCAAATATATTTTTGATAATATTCTTGCTTACTGATTTTAATCTCTATATTTATACAAATCTGCTTTAGACTTAATCTTTGATTATATTTATACTATAAATATTCATTTATTAAATCAATTTTATACTTACTGTCCATCAAAATTACTTTGTTGTTAAAAATGTGGTCCTATATTAAAAATACTTTTGTTCTCAAAGTATTTAAAATTTAATATTATATTAATTTCACAATTTTGCCCGATTCCTCAATAGAAGCATTTTACATTTTTTATAGCTAAAATATGTTAATAAAACCTTAGGTCAATTCTTTTTAAACTAACATATTTTTTCATCAAAATTCATTCAAATTATTTTCATAAAGCGGTATCTTCCAAAGTTTTTAATGTGTTGACACTGCTATATTTTTTATATTTGACAACCAAATCAGGAAAGGCTCATAGAAATTATCCCTTTTCCTCTGTTTTCAAATGAGGTATTTTATTACATGCTTCAATTTTATTAATGTGCAAGTCCTGTTTTCAGGCAATAAAATGATCTGCTTATTACATTTCCTACTGAGCACTGTAAATATTTTCTCATAAAGACCATACTTAAACAGTATCTCTCTGTTTTAAATTATCATTAATCATTTTCTAACACTGAAATGTATTCTTTGCATTTACTTTGTATTTTCACTATATGAACCATTTTACAGTGCGAAAATCATATTTTTGAATCTTTTCGCTCAACTACTGTGCCACAGCTAGTTGAGCTCAACACTTCGTTTTATTAAAGATTTCTTTTATAGCCTATCTTATACTGAGTTCCTTTTGCATAATATGCGTTAAACTCTTAATTTTGTAATAGTCCACGGATTATGCGATTAGCGTTATGGAGGATAAGAAAATAAATTCTAAAATTAATTTTATCAGATAATTTTGAAATTAAATCTCATCTTAAATAAACTGACACTGTTGCAATTTTTATTAAAATGACAAGTTTTCTGTATTTATCTTAGATATTCTATGCATATTCTGAGGAATTCACATGGTTTTTTCTTTGATTATATGAGAGCTTCATTTATATATCGCAAGTTTAATAAACATACAGTTTTCCATAAATTTACGAAATGCATGAAATGATTAGGAGGTGCAAATAATCTTAATTATAGTATTTTTGATAACTGGCTACAAAAGATGATGCATATATATATATAGTATTTCTTCACAAGAAGAGGATGAATTTTTATCAAAAAACCAACAAACGGACGAAAAAACTGTGTTTTCTTTCTACCCTATGATAGCAAATGTTTTGTATAGTCAAACCTCGATATTTCAAACATATTTACTTCGAATCCCTCGGTATGTCGAAAACAATCATTCCCTCAATTTTCAGCATTAAATCAATCTAACTTTCCATAGCTACCTCAAAATATTGTCTTCCAAAACCTAATTATCTCAAATTTTCAATACGTATATCAGAATTACGAATTAGTTGAAGCTCTCCCCCTTTTTGTCCTGGAAACATTGAGTTGTCCCCAGTAAACTTAAATTTTCTTCGTCCTTATTCTTTGGGTTTTATGCCGGTGGAAATAATGTTATAATAATTTTAAAAGTACAAAAAATTGGAACAGCTCTCCCTATAGGGAATTTTTTTTTGGTCTTTTAACCTCTGATACAACAACAGGGAATTATTAAAGAGATGTAATGGTGGCAATGCATTTTCTGGCGCATAACCTAAAAGATTATATGCGCCAAACAAATGCTTGATACTTCCAAGATACAAGTGAGACAAAGGTAAAAATAACTGCTGAACAAACATTAAAACAACAGCAGATTTATAAAATCATATGAAGTAATAAAATTTAAATTTTGAAATGAACAAGTACGAAAAGAGATGTAAATTCTGGTTTCTTCTTTTTCGCGGAAATTCATTTTTTTAAAAGGGTATTTCAATTTCGACATAAGAGAATTTACCAGATGCCGAAATTATTGCGGATATAGAATCGTAGTCAGACAACTACGGTAAAGCAGAATTACAGAAAAATAATACAAATATGATGATAAAAGAAGCTGCTAACGCTATGCATACTTTCTCAGTACTTATCTGAAAACAGTAAGTCTGATATGCATTATGAGTTATTGCTTTACACACAGCTGTCCAATCCAGAAAACAGGCATCGGACATTATTAACAAATTATTTTCACTAAGCATATCATAGTTAGCTAAATTTTTTCATGTATTTTACTATCATTAAACCTTTATAAATCTTGCATTTTTGGTTTAAACGCTTGAAATGAAAATTGCATATTGTTAACTTTTCACATTTTTATTAACGTGTGTTCCTTGCCTTTAATTTTTAATGCATTATTTGTCTAAAATCATCAGAAACCGAAGACTTAATATCTCGAAAATCTTATTTATGTCTGATTTTTTTTGTCTTCCCGGAAGATTCGAAGAATGGAAGCTCGGTTTTTATCTAACGTTTATTAGCCAGGTATTCAATTATTATTCTAAGTATGTAAAAATGCAAAAATCTGAAGAAACTTGAGTGCAATGAAGGAATAACTGGCTGAAGAAATTTTTTAAGGTTTAAATTAATTTTTTATTGCAGTATGTTTTTTTTAAATGTAAGTATGACGAAACATTTGCTCCTCTAATTCTCTGTATTAACTATTCCATGTGACGTAATTCTCAAGGTTCTTATCTGGGATCAAATGGTATCTCAGGAAAAGATCTGACTTATGTGCCACAAAGCAGTAACAAATATACCCCTATACATCTTGGCACTTTGACTACAACAAACAATACTTTATTTAAAATGACGTGTACTATAACTAGTATTTGTGTATAGATTACATAACAATTTAATTCCTAAAAAGAGAAAAAAAAAAGGTTTACATTCAATGTCTATCTTTTACACTGCTAAAATTTCGGTGAATGCTTTTGAGTAAAATAACCAATATAACTTGATAAATTTATATCCCAATCTCAACTATTAACATATAAAACTGTCATAGCAAAATAAAGTCACACATTTTCGTGCATTGAATACTTTATTTATCAAAAACATAAAACGATGCTACATGAACAATGAAATAGTCTATAAATAAAGTATAAATAAATAATATGACTCGTATATGATATTTTAGTGAAACAGAAGCAAAAATTTATTCTTAACAGATAAACTTTTGTGTGAATTTCATCTAAATGAAAATTACACTCTGAAAATTTTTGCTAAATCTGCTCAAAATACAGGGGACGAGATAATAATAATACATGAAGGATAGCAGTGCGACTAGAAAACTACAATAAGACTAGTGATTGTCAAATAAAATTAAAAATTATTTAACTTTAGTTCTTGTAAAATAGCACCAAACGGTGAACATAAAGTTACTAATTAGCACCAGAAATTGCTGTAAGTAGCACATTATTGGGACTAGACATTTATTTATATTTAATTATTCAACTAGTCTGTAGGCCAATGATAAATTGAGCAAAACATCTACACATTTAATTTTCACATAATGTTTTAAAACTGTAAGTCTCAAATACTTTAAAAGTAAGTACATTTTAGGCGACTAGAAAGTTTTACTTTTACATCGTAAGTTACAAAGATAAGTTCATCATGCATCAAATTAAAGATGCATTTTAGAGTGAAATTTTAACTTTGGCTGTGTTTGACAATATCAAAGAAAATTACGGTCTGTTGTACTAAATGTAATTAAATTCATGTCTTTTATGTTTACTTATGGTAAAAACAGCACCTTGTTTTTCGATGAATTGTAAACCTTTAAAGGCATTTATCCTTGCTGCAGTCTTTTATCATGAAATAAATTTCAAATTCTACACCACTTCTTTATTTGATTAATTTTCCATCTTGTGAAATGCAAAGCAAGGAAGCACTTCGAAGTTTGTATTATGAACCAAAGAAAACCTTCTTAATCACCAAAAGCAATGAAATTAGTGTCCTTAAAGTGAAAATGCTGAGTGGTTATTCACTCAGTCGTGAAAATTAAGTTCAGCCGTGAAAATCGCCAAAGCTTATAGCATGTTACTTTCGGTCCTTAACTGTCATATCTCCGTACATTTTATCCATCTCTTCAATCATTCTCAGTATCTGTGCAGCTAAATTTTGCTCTTCGATAAGACCATTGTCTAGTTTACCGACTCGGTCTCTTAAGGTAGCTGGAGGTGCTGGAGGAGCTGGTGGTGCTGGAGGTGCAACGGGAGGATACATTACATAAGGCTGCCCTAAGTAAGCTTTTAAGGGTAATAACACGGCAACGGCTACAAGAGGTGCTAGCACAGCTAGTAGGGGTAGATTGTCTTTTACCATTGAACTGATAGAACCAGAAAACAACCCTGGATCCTTCTGTTTGATGAGAATGACTTCTGGAACTGATTGTTGAGCATCAGGTTTCCATCCTTCGTAGTCAGGAAACCCTCGAAATTCGGGATCGTAGTCTTCATCATCATCTTCAGCATCTTCATCGGGTGGACTGCAGAAGGCGACAGGTATCATCAGTAAGAAGAGGATTAGAGCCCATCTTTCGAACATGATTTAAAATATGAGTTCCTCTAAAAAAAGAGCACAAAATAACCAATCAGCGTGTCTTCTTCACTTCCAGGTCAGCTTTATAAAGCGTCTTCAGTTGCCTAATTTTGATGCATTAATATATTCTTTTACGTGCTCTAGTATAAGTGTTCGTAATCATTAAAGTTTACTATTTTTCATTGACCCATATTTTCTTTTGAATTAACTGCGCTTGCGTGCAGTTCTTGTCAGATATCCTTAAACATTCAGAAGCATCTATTTATGTAATACTAATATTAAGCTCGAAAGTGCTTGCCTATAATTAATAATTAGCTTTATTTCTTATTTTTTACATATTGCATTACCTAACTACACGTAATTTTTCATTAACTGATTTGGATAAGTTTATCCAAATTAAATACTATGTCATTTGCATTAGACAGAAAAGCGTCACTATGCAGCAAGGATAAATGCAATAATTAACTATAGTTCTAAATTAAAAATTAATGAAATTTTGGTAAATTTAAGTGAAAAACTCAATTTTAATAATCGAAAAAATATTCTCCATTATTCATTTTACCAGTGTTATAAACAACAGTTCTTTTGTAAAGATTTAAAACGACATGAATTTAAGTATCTTCTATTGACTAGATTGTATGATTAAATAATATACCGAAAATAAAATTTAATTGCCTTTTATATATCGGAAAATTAAAATGACAAATTCCTTCAACTATTGTTCACATATATTATATTGGCAAATATCTGTAATTAATCAATATTAATCTATGCTGGGTTCCAGTCATTAAAACACCCACTCCAAGAAGCTTTTAATTCCCATAGACAGTCAATACATAGAATTAAAAGCAAACGGAAATGCCTCTGAATTTGCCATGATTATTTGCTTTAACACTATCAGCGTAAAAGCATTTATCAAGTACTTAGCAATGACTGCTTGCTTGTATTATTTCCCACTGTAGAAAATAATTATTTTAACTAGCTGATTTAATAAATCATACATTTCAGCTTTCATCTTCGTTTTGCTACGCGAGATTTTAAAATGTATATAATTTATAAGAAAAACATCGGGGGGAGGGGAAAAACGACAAAATGTGACTCTATCGCAAATATTCATAGAAAATAAGTGTTAGTAATCCTGAATTATTTTTACCATTAGTTAAAAATACAATTTCTTTTATAAAAAATAAATGTTAAATCTAACATAGGCATTTATGTGAATAATCGAAAATATTCGAAATAATGTTGGAAACATGCTTTAGAGCATTAACTACAGCACAAATTCTAATTAAACGAATTTCTAATTCTAAAAAATAGCTTTTTCAAGTAGCTATGTACACATGAAAAATAAATAATAGCTGAATGAAAATTAGCCTGCCGTTTAATATTACATACAGAAATAGCAGTTTAGAATAAAGACATATGGTGCAGTGTAATTTTTATCACTACTTAATAAATTACTAAACAAAAAAAAAAAAAAAAAAATGGTGCGTTAGGATTTAAAACGCCCGAAGTTAGCTGGTTTTAAATAGCATATTTTCAAACGACTCTCTGGAAAAGTTTTCATAAATTTTAAAGCACGTACGCATAATATTGGTAATATGTATTTTCAGCTGAATTTTCCATTTAATTATTCAATCGAATTAAAATTAAGCAAAAACTTTCAATCCAATAATAAACAGGAAAATACAATTAATACTATTTCAGTTCATTTACAGTTCTATGGCTTAAATTTTTATACCGTTGTAGTTTAACTTGCTACTTTTACATTCATTTTTTATCTTAAATTTCACTTAAAATTTACGTTATCGGATTTGTAATATTTTTTATTTAACATAGAATGCTTTCTGAAGTTTTTTTGCTTATATCCTTCACCACATTCCCAGATAAGTTCCAAAATTTTTTTTCATTCTATTATGAGAAGCTAGTAATAATATTCCCTTATTTCCAGTAAGCTCTGTTAAACCATGCTAGATATGAAAAATATGATGATGTATGTGGTATATTTAGACTCCGAGCGTCTTATTAAATCTGGAACCTTGAGGATGTCATCATTCCGTGTGTCATGACTCCTGTTTACTAAGGATTAGCTCCTTTGGCATAGGTTCCATCTAGTCCGATGTTTATTAAATTTCGGTTTTGTGCCTTGATTCCATGACATTACATGCCCTCTTTACCTTCTATAGCGTCCTCAAATTTATCTATGAGGTTTAAAATATGATCGGCCACACTAGGTTCTCCATTTAAGGATCTAGCCTTTTCGTCATTAATTCCTTCTCCTCTTGCTGCCATAGGAGGCATCATTGGTGGCATCATAGGCGGCATCATCATCATAGGGGGCATCATCATCATCGGTGGCATCATTGGTGGCATCATCATTGGAGGCATCATCATATTCTTATTAGCAAAAAGCATGAAGGCGCATATTAAAGGTACCAGTAAAGCTAACAGAGGTGTCAAGTCCTTCATCATTCCTCCAGCATCTGGCTTCTTCTCGGAAATGAGCAGAACTTCAGGTTTTGGTTTCCAACCCCCGTCATCATAGCCACGAGCCTGGATTTGTTGGGATGCCTCCATCATAGGATGATGCGGCGGCGTTTTCTTCAGAGAAGATGATGGATTGTCCTGTCGGAGCTGATGAACAGAAGTGGCAAGCACTAGCAGCAAAAGAGCAGAGATCCAGGTGGAGCGGATGGGAGTCATTCTTTCTAGAAGAGATCAGAAAATGTCTCCAATGAGCAGTCTTCGTATGTCTCTATGAAAATTATTTATACTTTCATCATATTGCCTCAAAATTTGTCGACGCAGTGTTCATACGACACCGCTGTTGCTCAATCTTATAACATATTTGGCTTCTGTGTTCGTTCTAATGCATTACGAAAGACTCTCAAAATACATTTATCTTCTTAAATTCAACGATTTCTTCATATGTATGTTTTTCAAAATTTCGTTGCGTTAAATATTTTAAATATGCAATCAATCAAATTCCATACGCGGGAAAAAATTATACCCATTTTGCATTGAATACATTGTTAATAATTTAGCTATTTTTATCATAGTATGAAAACTAATCCATGTTAACATCGTTAACCTAATTTTTGAAAAAAAGATCTGGTTTCAAACATATTTATTTATATTTAAAGTAATGTTTCCTACGTAAGTAACAAATGATATCAAATACTATAAAAAGGACCTCTACAATTTACAATTTTTATAAAGATATCTAGATTTGTTATCCTGCATCATATTTTTAAATATTCGTATTCGAAAAAAAAACTCCATGCAAAACAAAACCAAGTCAAACAAAATACGAGTGGGACATAAACTTATGTTAACAACTTTTTTATTTGAAAAGAAGATATGAACTTTATACGTAACTTAAGAAAACTGCATTTAAATATGGCCTTGTTATCAGTTTTACTTTTAATAAGTAATTTTTTGTGCTTTTTAATATATTAACTATACTTTTACCTTTTTATTTTATTTAGCCTATGTTTAATTATAAACAACCTGATTTTCGTTTATTGGATTTCAGAACTTCATTTGACATATCAAAATGAATTTTACTTCATCTTACTTTCTTTAGATTTTTATTCAACTGTATAATTTTACTAAAACGATCCTAACTACATAGTTTTAAAATTTAAAGTTAAGTTTTATCAGTGATTCGTTTAAATTTCTTAACGGCAATTTTTATTATTATTACCTAGCTTTTAAGGATAGGTGTTCTTATTCAAAATAACCTTGATTCTACAACGTCTTTCAAACACAAGAAACATTCTTAAAATGTATATAAATCTGCTGAAGTAATATGAGCAGTAATATGAGTAAAATGAGCATGTCTAAACATCTAATCAAAAATCTCCTATTCTTGAAAGTCTATTTCTTGATGAATCATTCTTAAAAAGTAAAATTTGTGAGAATTGTAACAGTAGGTGTATAGTGAATTAGTAACAGATGAATAAAAAAACTAAATTATCTGCGTCCATTTTGTTTATTTTATGCTGCTAATTGCTTTTTTCATTTTGACAGTTTTAATTTGTCTTTCCTGACACAATTCACTTATTCCTCCATCCAAAATTTTTATAGAGTTTAAGATGATTTTTTCAGCATATTAAAATATATGAACGCCTGAAATAAGCATTCCATCAAAATTCAAACTTAGTGACCTTTGAAAGAAAAATACCATTGAAAATAAAATTGTAAAATAAATCAAACTATTAATCCCAAATAATAAGATCTCATATACAAGTGTTATAACTGTTATTATGTACGTGATATTATTAGTAATTTTAATATTATAAAAACGTCAAATATTATTAATTTAGTGTATATAAGATCTTCAAAACATCTGCAATTTCCAATTCTATTTTAAATGCAAAAAAACACAAGCCTTGAAGACATTCTTCTTTTGATCAGTATTTATAATTCAGCATACTAATAAATAGTGTAGAGGTAATTCAACAATTTTTATTTAGTTTTTAATATCAGGATACTAAGAAAATATTCGCTTGCATTTTCTGTCTTTTACTCTTTTCCTTAGCAATAATTTATATTTAAATTTTAAATCATTACTTTCATAAGTTAGTCCTAATATGTAACTTAATAAAACGGCAAATATTAACAGCACTCACAATAGACAATTTTGGCAATTCTGAAATAAAATAACAAATTCTCAATTGCTGTGAGCACTTTTATTCCTTATTTTATGCATTTTCAAGCTTGATGTGCAAATCCATAATTCTTTTACCACTTAATTGATGATTAGAAACTCGGTGTTTCAAAAGTTTTGTTCTGAATATCTTTTATGAATATTTAATTAAAATGCATCTTTCCTAAATATTTTTTTAATTTAATAAATGAGAATTTTGAGACATCTTTAATAATTATTAACATGGTTTAAGATTCCTTTTAAAATTGTCATCGTTCATAATAGGTGTTGATAATGTATATATATTTTTTAGAGCTTCCGAATTAAAATCTTTAGTTCTAATGATTTATATATTGAGCAACTTAGAGCTATTGTTTTTAAAATATGCGATGGGAAGCAATTTTCAAAAATTAAAAAGTAATAAATAAATTAATTACATTTTAATATGAGTTCTTTAAGTTTTTAAAATAAAACTACAAAATTAGTTTGTTTACTAATTTCATTTCCTCGAAATTTATATGTTTTCTTATTACTGTATTTAAAATTTGTATATTTGTTTTAGAGCTTTTTATGAAGATTTGCAAAAATGAATTAATAATATATCAATTTTTCGATCTTTATTCCGATAGTTTTTGTACTTGAGCTAATGCTATAATCTGCAGTAAATTTAGGACAATGTATTAGGAATGTATCTATTTTCCTTTTATTGCGCTAGCTACGTATTATTTAATTTTACTTTACTTGAGTATAGTATATATATATAGCTCGAATCTCATTATGTTAAATATGTTCGACAGGATATGAATTTTCATTGCTTATTTAACTAAATATAATTTTTAAAAATTTAGCAATGAGCATAGAAGTGGTATTAATTAAAAATTCTTAAAGTGATTATCAATTTTATTATCGAAACTTATTTTTTTTTAAATTATACAATACCAAGTTTTAAAGTAATAACGCATAATTATTTTCTTAAATTCAAAGAATAAGCAATAAACATACGGCAATAGATAATTCATAATACAGATAGTTCTTTATTTTGCTAAATTTTAAAAAAGGAATTGCTTAATATAAATTTAATAAAAATTAACAGAGTTTTATGTAATAAATTTACAAACTTATATTTTTGTAATAATTGCTATATTTAGGAAATAAAATCTTATTACCTCAAATGAATATTCTTTAGCCATCTTAAACTGTAATATTGATTTCACGAAAAGATCGAATTACTCACAGTGGTAGTAAAACCGCCGCCAAAAATCAGTGTCATCTATGTGAACAGATATTTCTCTTTCCCTCGGATATTATACGAAAACTAGAGCTTCACGGGAAACAACAATTACCGGGACTGTAAATCAAAAATTACTGACCCGACAAGGCGTTGTTACGGTCACATTGTTTTTCCTATTTTCATGTTAAATATTGCTTTCGCAAACTGAAGACAGCACGAAATTTATCACTTCGCCTCCCCCCCCCCCCGCGGAATGTTACTGCCTGAATGAATTCTTATGTGAACACGAAACTCGAATTATTAAATTATTATGTAGGTAACATTAGACAATAAAGATAAATGTGAACCTAACTGAAACAGATATTTTATATACAGAGAAGTCGTTAAAGATGGAGACAGGATTATTTTGTTAAATACTGAGACGTACCGCTTCAGTTACAAAGTTTCTTAAGAATGGCGCACAATTTTATGAAAATTACCTTAATGCTTTGGTTTGAATATATTAAAATAAAAAAAATATTTTTTTCTATGTGATTTTCACGCCGCACAAGTTTTCACTTGTAAAATATTCGTCATATTTAAATCAATTTAAAACAAAAGGTTTCATTCTTCTAAGATATAAAATCTTGGAGAATGAATTCGACAATTCGAAATGAATGAATTATTCAAAGACGAATATACTAACTCAGATCATTTTCACGTGCTTATTACGACTTAAATTAAAGACGGCTTTGGAGGAAATATTTAGCAAATCGAAAGAAAACAAAAGTTGAGGCTGTTTAACAATTAATGCTCTAGTATGCAAAACTTAGCAACTTTTCAGATTTCGGCTGTAATTCTGCAAAAAATCAACTGGGAGACATGAAATTCATTCTATGGAGGTACAACGTACCATTTAAAGAATGAGGAAAGTACAGTAGCAAAAAAAAAAAAAAAAAAAAAAAAAAAAAAAAAAGAAATTAATCGAACATATACAGCGTGGAACGAATAGAAAAGGGGTTTATTTATAGAATGGCGTCGGTACAAAAAACTGTCTCACCGTCTGTTGATTCTCAGCACTAGATTATCTAACAATTCTTCGGGTAAAAGCTTCTATTTTTCAGGAGCATCTGCTTCAGTTGTCTAGTGTTCTCCGGAGGTTACGATCGTGCCGCCAGGTGTCTTCTAATGTATCCCTTGCATGTTCAATCAGATTTGAATCAGGGGAGCACGTTGGCTAATCTATTCTGTGGATATCTTCACTTTCCAGGAGTTCTTCAACAGGAGTCATGTGTGGTTGTGCATTGTCATTCGTAAAAATAAAGTGAGGACCAATGGCACTTCGGAAAAGACGCATGTTGGGGAAAGGATAACTTCATCAAAATAACCATCTCCGGGAAGTGAATCTCTGTAGAAAATGTTGAGCTCCGTCCGTCCAACGAAATGCCTCCCCATACAAGGATGGTAGGACCATGCCAGTGGTCACTTTCCCTGATGTTAAATGGGATGAAAGCATGTCTTTACCCCTCTCCATATCACCTGGTGCCAAGAACCGTTTGATCAGACTGAAACGACTCTCATCGGTAGGAAATATGTGAATTCATTGATGAGGTGTTCAGTCTTTTTGCTCTCTATACCAATAAACGTTACTGCCGATAGACTGCTGTCAATGGCATGCAGCGTTCAGGACAGTGGGCGAATAGGACACCTTTATGAAGTCGTCTGGCTACAATAAACCGGAACATCTGCCGTCAGATAGCCGCGAGCAATGTTGTTCGATCTCTTTTCGCCTGCAGAGCGATAAATCGGTCATCCGTCACCGTTTTTTCTCTTGGCAGACCACAACC